GTATGATAACATGATCATTTTATTTTGAATAATAGAATGTTGAACTGAACTTCCAAACATTTGGAATCTGCAACAACTACATTTACTATTAGCACAATAAATATGAGAATTGGGAAAGTATTCTTCAGTTAGGGTATGGGGTTGAAGCAGGACAGTGGTATTGAATGAACAATTTGCTCTGAGAGCCAGTGCAAACTCAATGGGCCAAATGCAGTACTTCTGTGCTGTGAATTGATGATTTTTTGATTCAGATGTAACTGACTTATCTTCAGGAAAATTAGCCTTTCTTGAAATGAAGATTCTGTGCTGATACCATGTTGGAGTCGATATGGATTGAGCAGGGAAAATAAATTTCAGGCTAGAACTAATTGAATATTGTCATCTGTATCTGTTTTGACTGGTCGTGCAATTGATCAGGTAGAAAATCCAAGTAGTCACAAGAAGTGTAAATGTTAGGTGCAAAGGACAATAAGAGAATGGTTCAGTGTGGTGAACAAGTTATTTTTATTGTGTGCATAATGAGATTTCCCATTTTTAAGGAATAACAGAGATCACTAGTTTTAGCTAGCATATGTTACACCCCAAAGTGCATTAGTGCATTTTTGGCTGTCGGTGAACCTTCTCATTTTCTCTAATGGCAATCTCAGAACTGTGCTTTGGGAATTTATGAGCTCCAAGTAGAAATGTCTCTATTGCTTTGATTAACAGTTTCTGATACACAGTATGGGTTTCTGGAGATATGCCAGAATGGCTTAGGGTTACTTACTGCTGGATTTTCCCCTCATTTCAGGAGGTTATCTCAGCAATCACCCACCAGCACCACACAGCATGATGAAATACTAACTTGCCAAATGATTATTTTACCATAACCTTACTTTTCTGCATTTGAATTACTTTGAATTCAATTGCTTCACATCTCTCCAGGCATTGTACCGTTTCTATTTAACCTAGTTTCTACTGTGTGATCAGATTTACAACCTGCTGCCCTTGCCAGATGTTTTGGCTTTTTTCCCTTTCTATTGTTATACCTTTCCACATTTTCTACTTTTCTATTCATAACACATTCATGTTACAAATAGAAAAGTGGACAATGTGGAAAACTGGATGAAGCAGTTTAATTTTTACAGAAACTCCAAACTCCTTATAAAAACCTCAGTTTACACTTATCCAGAATTTTCCAGTCCCTTCATTTTCCATTGATTTAATAACCAAATACTTGCATTTGATATAGTGGCTAATCAGGTTGTCGAGACTGCTGTTTTACTGTGAATAGCAGTGACTGTATTTGTGGGTGAACACGGCAATCAATTCGTGCATAGCAAAGTCATTCGCAAACAGCCATGAAGCACTCTGAGACGCTAGCGTGTGTGAAGTTGTTGAAGTGAGTGACCAATTTTATTTGGGGGCAGGGGATTGTTGGCGAGGACATAAGAAAAAAAACTCCCTTCACTTTTGAATAGTGATTTTTCCCAGTCACCAAAACTCTACAATTGTTTTATTTATAAAATCTTTTTTCATCCAGTTAATCTTACCCACTCATGCCTTCATCACCTCCAGGCTCGACTATGCAAACGCTCTGCTTGTCGGCTTTCCCAACACCTCCCTCCACAGGCTGCAGATAATCCAGAACTCTGCAGCCCATGTCCTCTCCCGCACCAAACTCCGTGACCCCATCTCTCCCATTCTCGCCCGACTCCATTGGATTTCTATCTTTCAGAGGATCCAGTTCAAAATCCTGGTCCTCACCTACAAAGCCCTCAACAGTCTCGCCCCACCCTATCTCTGTGATTTCTTAACCCCCAACCAACCCGCCCGTTCCCTCCGCTCAGCTGGCTCTGGCCTGCTCCACGTCCCCCGATCCACCCGCCCCACCATTGGTGGGAGAGCCTTCAGCCACTCTGCCCCCAACGTCTGGAACTCCATCCCCCAATCACTCCGCCTCACCCCCTCCTTAAAGTCCTGTAGCTCAGTGGTTAGAGCACTCGCTTTGCAAGTGAGAGACCGGAGTTCAATTCCAGGCAGGGCGAAACCTTGGGCAAGTTTCCTTACTCCACACAGAGCCTAATAATAATCCCTCCAAAACCAAAAACAATAATAAATTGGTCATTTACAATCTACGACTGTTTGTGGGACATTGCTGTGCGCAATTGGCTGCCGCGTTCGCCCACAAATATACAGTCAATTCACTTTACAGTATGTTCTGTGAAGCGCTTTGGGACGTCCTCCCGACGTGAAAAGCGCTATATCAAATGCAAGGATTATTATTATTATTATTATTAAGTCCCGCCTCAAAACCCTCCTCTTTGATCATGCCATTGGTCAACCCCCTTCCTCTCCCCTCCCTTTCTCCCTCCTGACCCCCGCTCGGGTCTGAAATACTGTACACTGTCCAGCGCCTTGGAATGCCCTCCCGACGTGAAAGGCGCTATACTAATGTAATCGTGTTGTTGTTGATTCTCCACAAAGAGCAGTGCACAGATGCAGATTTAAAAGGTCAGCATCATGCATGTTCCTTGTCACAGTTTTAACCACACATTCTGCTGATCAATAAATCTTTACCTTTCGTAATTTTAATATGGGCTTACCAAATAGAGCTGGTTATATAGCATTTTTTCTCTGCTATAAAAAACAATGTTCTCCACTGTAGTAACTGGCTCTGATGCTTAAACCATACTACAATATTAGAAAGTCATAGTGACTTGGGGGGGGCGAGAATGCATTTTATTACTGTTGTGAACAACTTCTGTGACTGACCTAAATACTTGCTGCCTGAACATTTTGTGCCAATTTCACAAGATACCACTCAGTACAAAAATCCTACCTCCTCCACATTAAAGCGCTTTGAGATATCCTCCGAACGTGAAAGGCGCTATATAAATGTAAATTGTATTGTATTTACACTTTTACAGTCTGTAAGCACACCATGCATTTTCCTATCCAAACATTCCTTGTACAACTCTATTTTTTTGGAGAATTTTTCCTCTTTCCCTCCCTCAAATAAAGACAAATGGTTAAAAATATTCATGACAAATGTTGCAAGCATTTTGCTTGCTTGATCTCCTTTTCTTTGTAACAGAGTCATGCAAAACATTTGTGATAAATCTTCAACATATTAGCCTCGGAGCCAGTGGGACAGCTGCAGGCTGATCTATCATGGTTATCTGATTTTTAACCCAGCCATTTCACATATTCATTCTGCTTGAACTGTCTGTGCTACTACATACAAAGTGCAAGTATCTTTATAGGCTCACTGTTGTTATCCCTGCTCAATGTCTCAGTGTCTCTCTCCTCCCTAGTATTTGTTTTCTTAATTTTATTCTTAAATAGAGGCAGATTTAAAAAAAAGAAAATCCTTCACTGGATAGTAACGTGGGGGCAGGAACAATGTTCAATTCTCCTCCTTAGGTCTGCGGTGTTGAAACCAATTATGGATTCTCACTGTCATCTGACTTATTTTACCAATTGAACGGGAAATGCTCCTGGGCTGTGCCGCAACGCCAAACCACACATCACATCCCCCCAGCCGTTGAGATTTACCACAGAGCTACAGTCACTTCCAATACTAGATGCCTTTGGTTGCTGCTCTCCATATTCTTGTCACACTTACATTCCATTCTCCGTTACCCTTGAATTGACATGTGGGTCTCCCTCAATTGCTCAAGAGTAAATACATCAATTAGTGTCATACTAAGCCTTCCAAACTAGCAAGTGTATCTGGGTTCAATCCAGATCAACGTGGGCAGTGTTGGTCCCAGCATGACTAGAGCGGATGTGATAGGGGTAATGAGTCACTGATCCTTTTGTAAATGCTGCCCAATGTGCATATTTCATGTAGATATGAATATTCTCTCTAATAGGAAATAGTGAAAGGGCTATCAGATTGGAATGTTTGGTCACCTCCTAGGGCTTTTCCATTGAGATTTTGCTCTGTACAACAATTTACAACTCGCCTTGCAAGCGAGACACCTGGGTTCAATTCCAGACAGGGTGAAACCTTGGGCAAGTTTCCTTACTCCACACGCCTAATAATAATCCCTCCAAAACAAAACAATAATAAATTGGTCATTTTCAATCCACAACTGTTTGTGGGACACTGCTGTGCGCAATTGGCTGCCACGTTTCGCCCACAAATATACGGTCAATTCATTTCACAGTCTATTCTGTGAAGCACTTTGAGACATCAAGAAGATGTGAAAAGCGCTATATCGAATGCAAGGATTATTATTATGATTATTATTATTACAACAACACAATTACATTTGTAAAGCTCCTTTCACATCGGAAGGACATCCCAAGGTGCTGAACAGTCAGGGATCAGGATCCGAGTGTGGGGGAGCAGGGTTGGGATGAGGGAGGGCAGAGAGGTAGGAGGGCGGCTGCCGATTGTAGGGCAGCTTGCGGGGGGACACATGGACCAAGCCGAAGCCTGCTGAGCAGAGGGAGCTCACAGGTTGATAGGGAGTCAGTGGGTCAGAGATGTAGGAGGGGGCAAGGCCATGGAGAGCCTTGAAAGTTAGGATGAGGATTTTGAATTGTGTCCTCTGAAGGATGCGGAGCCAGGCGAGGGTGGGAGTGATGGGGTCACAGAGCCTGGTGCGGGAGAGGGCATAAGCTACCGTAAATTAATAAATGATATTAAATTAAATTTATTAAATTCAATTTAAATATAAATTAATAAATTGAGCTGCAGAGTTACACTAATACATCAGCTTTTACCTGAGAGTATTTCAAAACATGGTCAAAGAGATGTTATTTTGTAAAAAAAAAACCTTGAGAAGCAAGAAGAGAAAGCAAAGGGATTTGTAGGAAAGCTTCAACAAATCTGGGCATAGAGGCTAACACTCAGCCACTGATGTTGGGATGGAGTGTGAGAAACGAGTGGTAGACCTGAGTTGTGGTGTGTGGGGGCGGGGAGGGGTTGGGGGGTTAGAGGGACAAGGTAGGGATGAGCTAAGAATATGATGGGAATTACAGTTCAGAAATGTACAAAACAAAATTACCTTTTATGAGTTTCGGTTGAACGATTTTCCTTTGACTCTTGATCAATCTTTGCTGTGAATCAAAATTGGAATCAGTTAATTTCATGGGACATATATTTTTTCGAAAAAATCAATACCCCCCTCCACCCCACCTCCTCTAAGTGGACTGTGATAATGAGAGACTGTTTTTAATTGAACGATTAACAGTAAAACATGCCAATAAAACAAAATTCTGTGGTAAACAACGTCATCACAATCATTGATCTTTTCTGTTCAACTGCAAATTAACATGATGATAAGATTTTAAAAATAGCTGACCTTACATTACTAGGCATCTGAAGACCAACCTCATTTACATCAGAGTGGAAGTGGCAAGACACTATGAGCAGAAAACGCAAGGCAGCATTGCTGGGCAAAAAAGATGAAGGTTGCTCTAGGTGGATGCCTTACACTCCTCTACCTTCCACCTTCGCTTATTGGCTTGGGTCTTCTGCATGTCCCCCAACACCTCTGTTCCACAATTGGTGGCTGTGCTTTCAGCTCTTATGCCAAACTCCTTGCCTCAATCCATCTGTCATGCCTCTTATTTACCAGTCTACAAATCACAACTAAATCGCAATCCTCTTTGATTGTGCCTTTGGGCACTTCCCCTCCCTTTCTGGCTCAGCAAAGAGGCACGCCTCTGTTAAGCACTGAGACACGACCCACGTGAAGGGCGCAATAGAAATGCAAGTTGTTGTTGCACATAGCAGTTAGGGAAATGTTGCACACAATGGACCAAGAAGTAGCCAGAAATGTATATAAGTAAATCCATTCTGTAGACAGTTTGCAGATCATGGTCATGAGGGATGGGAATTCTTCCAACAAAACTCTCATTAAGCCTGCAAACTAAAGCCCTTATGAACAAGTTCTGACGAAGGGTTGTGGACCTGAAACGTTGACTCACTTTCCTATCTCCATAGATGCTGCCTGACCTACTGAGTTTTCCCAGCTCTTTCTGCTTTTGTTTCAGATTCCAGCATCTGCAGTATTTTGTGTTTTGTCCCTAATGAACAAAGCTTGCCAGGACAGTGTTTTCAAATGGTAAGCAGTTTTAACTGGTTGAACTCCAGCTGTGCTTAATGAAGGTTAAGGTAGTTTTGTGCTATACTAGTCCAGCTGTAGATTTGCTCAACACAAGCATTGGAATGCTCTCAAAGAGGAATTGTACCACAATGATTCAAACAGGGCAAAATCCCCTGCTATCTTTTGGTGTTTCAGGTTTCATGCCCTTTTTATTTTTAAGCGGCTGCAGATTTTCCAAGAAATTTCTGAATTTCATTATGATGGCCAATTTTTATAAAGTTAATTTCCTGCTTCCACCTCAACCACCATTTGCATGGCAAACCAGGCTAAATTTAATGTAATCCCAGATTTCCTTTCATATCAGAGTTAAATTTAAAGTAGAGGAAGGGGAATTTTTTTTTGAAAACTGGCAGCCAACTAAACAATCCTTGTGTTTGATTTAGCATCTCATTGCATTGTTGAGCTTCACAAGATTTTCTGCAAAGTTTAATGGCTATATTTTTAGGTTATTACACCAACAAATTCCTACACCATTATGTCCCAGAAACAAGCAAGTGAATGACAAATTTTATCTGGAGAATTGTTGACCAGGATACCAGGATATCAGGAGAAACTTTGTTCACTTCTTAAATAGTGCCCTGGGATCTTAAACGTTCATGTGAACAGGTAAACAGGACATGTTTTATCCTCTGACAATGCAACTTTTCCTAAATTTAATTAAAAAAATACTTTCACTCCACGATGGTATACTTGCAGCGGTTTCAAGGAAACCAGACACAATATTGTGGGTCTACAGATGAACATACATGTGGTTGCTATCATTGTGATCTAAGTGTCCATTGAAACTTCATGCAATAGTGATCAAGGTTTTTTTTTAATACTTTTGTACAGTATACAGTGAGTAATACAGATGTAGAAAGAGACAGGTGAGAGAGTGACTGAGAGAAAGGAAGAGAGGGATGAAACGGCGAGAGATACAGCTGGCCAATAATTCCACATAATAAATTGGTCCTTCACTTCATGTCTGTTTGTGGAACATTCCTGTGCACAAATTGGCTGCAATATTTCCCTACAAATGCAGTCACATCACTTTACAGAAAACTGTGTTATGTGTTATTAGACATTGACTGAAGGCAATGCAAGGATTTATTTTTTTTACAATATCCAAGAACAGAGAACAGCCATGATGACTTGCCCTTATATAACATCTTTCACATAGGATAAATGTTTCAGAGAGCCTTACACAGATGATGGGGATCCCTGAGCAGGGAGGAAAGAAAGGAAATTCATGGGCATGGCTAATAAGATTGAACATAGGATTGAATGAACAGCTTGCTCAGAGCTGGTGCTGATTTGATGGACCAAATGGTCATTTTATGTGCTGTAAATTTCTTTGAGTCTAAGGTACCTCTTTAAGAGAGTTTTAATGGCAGGAGAGATGGGAGCAAGGCAGAGGGTCTGAGTTTGGAGGAGGGGAGAAAGGGCATATTAATAATAATAATCCTTGCATTTGATATAGTGGCTTATCACGTCTTCGAGACACTCTCAAAGCACTTCACAGAATATACTGTACAGTGAATTGACTGTATATTTTGTGGTTGAAACACGGCAACCAATTGCCCACAGCGGTAAATCACAAAGAGTCGTGGATTGAGTGACCAAATTATTATTTTTTAAAGATTTTTTTTTGAAGAGATTATTACCGCTGGAAAGCGATCCACCAATCGACTAACAACCGGGTTCCTACTTACTACTAGGCAAATAGAGGTGTGTGGAGTAAGGAAACTTGCCCAATGTTTGCTCTGCCCAGGATCAAACCCAGGTCCTCTTACTTGTGAGGCAAGTGCTTTAACCATTAAATTACAGGACTCCATATTGGCTGAAGGCTTGGCAACTGATGGTAAGACACAAAAGTAAAAGAAAGGATTAACTGGTGTGCCGAGCCTGATGCAGGATACAAACATATCCAAAAAAGGCTGACCAGTTCTAAACAGTTAGCACTGAGACTCAAGCTCAGTGCTCCACAAATGAATTATGATCTCAGTCACTCAGTGTCCTGGATCACCTCTGCAACAGTTTTAAATTCATTAGCAGGTATGTTATATTATCAAATGAACTTATGCTTTCAATTACTAAGTTGGGGGTGGAAAATAAAGAAGACAGAAGATTTCTTTCCTACAGTGTTTTTCTTCAGCACATGGAGTTCAGCACATTGGAACAAAATAAACTCTTACAGATAAATGGGTCTGTAGCTGTTTTCCATCATATCACTTCTGCACCATCTGTGTTTAAAGGAGCAAGTGGCAACTGTTTGCAAACATTGATGCTGTTGTATTGAATGCAAGGGATATTCTTCTGTTAATCTGATTTGTAGGTGTTTGCCTATAAAATAGTCAAAACACTTTCCAGAAAATCTTATGCATTACTCTGAGATGTCCTCCCAAAATGAACGGCGCTATATCAAACTCAAGGATTATTATAACTATATTATTTAACAGATTAATTGATCCTGTTCATTAAAAGAGTTTACACCTTAAATGCTAAATGCTTACCTTTCATAAGAGAACTGTTCTAGATTTCAGACTAACAATTCTGAGGCATAATTTGTTTTCCATAATTTGATTTGACAAATCAATAAATCAGTTTGCAGGGATATAGGTAAACAGTCCTGTTAGAGTCCACTGTTTTATTTAACATGGCAAGACACACACCGAGTCAGAGTACAGACTTTCTTTTATGTCAGCATACTCTGGTAAACATTATGTGAACACAAGTCTAACCTCAGTCAATAGGTGTGTGCGTACTGGTCGTCTAATTTTAGCACCACGAAAATCACATTCAGCCAGATTTGTACGCATACGCTTTTTTCCTTCAGTGCAAACATGTTTAAAACCTCTATCAAGTTGAATTATTTGGAAAATGCCTTATGTTCTAGGTTACTTCTGGAATTGTAGATGACACATTGGAATTGTAGATGACACATTAAGTGGATAGAGCACTCGCTTTGCAAGCGAGAGACCTGAGTTCAATTCCAGGCAGGCGAAACCTTGGGCAAGTTTCCTTACTCCACACAGAGCCTAATAATAATCCCTCCAAAACCAAAATCAATAATACATTGGTCATTTTCAATCTACGACTGTTTGTGGGACATTGCTGTGCGCAATTGGCTGCCGCGTTCGCCCACAAATATACAGTCAATTCACTTTACAGTGTGTTCTGTGAAGCGCTTTGGGACGTCCTCCCGACGTGAAAAGCGCTATATCAAATGCAAGGATTATTATTATTATAATCTATTTTTCCACAATTACTCTTAATTCCAGGCTCACTGATGATCTGTCTACTTGCTTATCAGATATCAAGGCCCAGATGAGTCCAATGTTCTCCAACTCAATATGGAAATATGGATAAGACTGAAGTCATCCTTGGCTCTCACTAATGTCTTCTCTTTCAAATTCTCTGAACTGTTGCACAACCTTGGTGTCCAGTTCGATCTCAAGCTTTCCTTTCTCCCTCACATCCAGTCCTTCACCAAGCCCACCTTCCTTTACCCCCACCCCCACCTCATCGCCAACTCCTTCCTCATCTCACACTGAAGCACTCATTCACGCTTTCATTACATCCCCCTTTGACTTCTCCAAAGCATCCTCAATGGTCTTCATAGTTCCACCATTCACAAGCTGCAACTCATCCAAAACTCCATCGCTTTCGCAAACCCATCACCCTTACACTTATCAGGTTCCACCAGCAAATCAACTTCAAGTCTTGCCCACCCTACCTTTGTTGCTTCTGCAAACTGTACCAGCTTGGCCGCTCTCTTCGCTCAGCTTGCTTCATGTCTCCCACCCTATCCACTCCACCACCAGGGGGCGGGCTTTCAGCCTTTTTTCTGCCACTTCATCCTTAGTCTTTTCAACCAGCTCCCTCCCTCATCTTGTCAAGGTCTGTCTCAATATCTATTTGTTTTACTGCGTTTTCAGTCACTTTGTCCTCCCCACTCTCCTCGGCTCC